TGCTGGCTGGGGAATTCTGGGAGTTGAAGTCCACCCATCTTAAAGTTCCTGAGCTTGAGAAACACTGGCTTAAGGGATTTGTGAATTAGTTATTTATCAACTAACGTTTGATACAGAGGCCACAACTCCATCAGACTCTGAGAGTCTTGCCTGAACCGCAACAATAAAGCAGTAATGACACAAACCGTGTTGTGATTTGTAAAGCTATGATTTATGGTTACTGGGTTGTGCCAATGTAGCCCGTTGGGGTTTGTTCAATAAATTATGAAATTAAGAACTTGGTGGCTTGGCACAGTGTAAGAATTCAGCAGTGAGACTTCACCTCTGGACAGACACGCATGAAAAAGTCCTCAAGGAAACATTGCCAACATTAAGCCATAACATGCTTTATTTATTTCACACGTTGTGTGAACCTAGCAATCGCCTTTGGGGGATTAACGTGTCGTGTGAACTCTGCCAATTTGCGTTACCTGGTAAGTTGGTTGATGAAGGATCGGCAATTTTTCTTCTAGTTTATCCAACCCCTTGCAAGCATATTGATTCACCGTGGCAACTAGGAAGAAAAAAAACAGTTTTAAAGCTTCTGGCTTTAAGTCACATCAGTCTCGCACTTCATTTCAGTCTGAAGCCGTTTTATTTTTTCCAGTTGAAAAGAAAACCATATATCTAATTTATTATGGTTTCCTTCCATTACTTAGATCTTCCATTTCAGTTTGACTCCTGCGCAGACAGCTAAAATTGTACAGTGCCTATTTGGGTGAAAACATTCTCTTTTGAAAAAGAAAAGTGTAGATCTGTCTATTTGGGTTTTTTTGCAAAACAGTGATTAAAAAGAGAAAAAGACCTGAGATGTGGATTCTAAAAGAGCTCAGGTTTCTAAAAGGGGCGGTTTTGCAATTTGCAGACAAGGTTTTTTGTGGAAGGGTTTCAGGTTTTCACTGGGCATTTTACAGAATTGCAGCACGGAGCGCTTTTGATCTTTGCTCCAGAAAGCAGCGGGACTGGCTTGCTGGCTTAGATAATGCCTTCAGCACACCGTGAGAGGTGCCAAATTAATTGTGGGAGGGAAACCCAACTGGGTTAAACTGCAGAGCAGGAGAGAAGATGCAAAAGCCCAATGCATTCTCTTCGAAAGCAGGAGACAGAGGCCTGGATATGAGGCAAAACAGGGTTGGCACAGAAACATTTCCGCCAGAAGGATTAGAAACGTGATGGCAGCCAGACTGCTCCACCCACCCACCCACCCACCTCACCTGTCCAGGGCGGGCAGCATTTCTGTACTCACTCTGCGGTTCAAGATGGGTGAGCAGAGGTTGGGCCCCGCCTCGCGCCCCACCCATGGCCACAGCAGCCACCAGCTCGGCAATGTTGCAGGCGGTGTTGACACAGGGATAGGTCTCTTTGGCATGGTGGTACAAGGAGGAGCAGAGGCTGTAGGCAGAGCTGATCAAAGGCAGGTTGGTGACCCTCGTCACAACGTTCTGGAGGAAGGCAAGGAAGGTGATCTCAGCTGGACCACGGTCCAGAGGTCTGTTGCTTCCAAGATCACTTCTAGGTGGCATGGACTACACCTCCCATCGCCGCTGACTGCTGCTCTCTGAGGCTGGGGCTGATGGAAGTCCTCTAAGATCTGGGGATCCCCCACGTGCTTTTGCTAAGCCCGCTGATGTTGTTTATAATTCAGGCTAACGGGGAACTGGATTCCTACAACGTGCCCAGCGCTACGATGCCATTGGCATGAACCCAACCAGTGGTGGTTAAATTTGGGGCTTTACAAATTGTGTCCTGCAGAGTCCTTGATAGGGTTCCATGAACAGCTAAGGACAAAAAAGTTCGTTTGGACCCAGCCAAGGGGATCCAAGCGGTTTTTCTATGGAAAAGCCGTCACATCCCAGGCACCGAGCATCAATTTGTTTAGGTTAAACATTAACCCCCAAAGTAATTGTGAAATCCAGCTTGTAATTTTGTCCATCGGAAATGTTCTTTTTGCATTTAAAATAAACGGTTTACTTTTGCTACTCAGAATAAGTGGAAGGACTTTCTGGGGCAATATTTGGGGTGTTGGTTTTTGAGAAATCTGAATCACTTTCATACAGACATTTGCCTCAATAAATTACAACGAAAAAAGTTTCATATTATTGCCTGTTTTCTTTCACTAGAACTTTGCCTCTCGATCAAGGGATCCAGCAATCTGGCCTTTTCGCTAACGGCTTCTGCATCTTTAAAAAGTTTGAAAAACCCCTGGTTTCATTAATAAACCATCAAAGTGGAAATCATGGCTCAGATAAGGAATCAATCCAGTCTAATTCAGGTTCACACAACTCACTCGGCTAACGTGATTACTGGGTTTCGGTGTGAGCTTTGAAAAACGTAGCTGCTGTGATTAGCTTGGGGTTACTGATCCCATCATCCTCTGCTAGAACACAAAGACCATGCTGACGGGGAATGTTTCCAACACAGTTGGAGGCCAGCAGGTTTGAAGGGAATGGCTGGAACAGACCAGCTACAGGGTCTGCAGGCGTGCCCAAAGCCCCCCGTGGCCTCCCCAAACAACCCAACATTCATGGAAACGATCATTTTCTGAAAGAAGAATTAACAGAAACTGACCTCAGCCTTTGAAGCATCGTAAACTGTCTCCCCTTCATTGGCCATGAGGAAGTCGGGTCGAACTGTAAGGGAACCCAGATCATAGGGTTTTTAAAAATAATAACTTCATTAAATTTTTTAAAAGGAACAATAAAAACTAACAAAAACTGATATT